GTTGTTCTCCTGCTGCATCTCACTTAAGGGACTTGCATCCTCCTCCTGCTGCCTCGCAAACAGAGGTTACCTACATTGCAGGGGTAGGAAAATTTATGTTGTCACTTGTAAAATACTAAAAAGGCAAGGCATTGTAAAGCTACTAGCAAACCAGCAGCAGTGCAGTCTGAATCGTATCCAAACCCTTCAAGGCATCTATTATATCTGATGTTCAGAGTCACCTTGACCAATGTAGGTCTCATTTAAGAGCAGATAACACTAGTATTCACCCAATACGTGTACAGTAATGCAGACAGCATCCAACTCTAAGGACTCATCAGAACAGAGCAGCAGCTTTGACTGATGCAAAGTACTGCACAGCAAGGAGTGAAGTAAGTGGAAAAACAGATGCTTAATTTCTACTTATTTTTGTCAGCCTCATTCCTATGGTATCTGTTAGATGAGGGGAAAAACCTGCTGAGTGCTGCTTAGTAAATAATACACGAACTACAGCCATGTCTAAGGACTACTGGGGTGGCCCTTAAGACGGCCCTACTGAGAGTTTGGTGGGATTTTTTAGGGGTTTTTTTTTGATCGATCCTTAGAAGGGTCTAAAGTAATGTTTCCATACGGGTTTTGTTCCTATTATGCAAGGTCTGGTGAACTACATTGTCTGAGATTAAGGGATTAAGTGAAGGGGTGGTTTTGGCTTGGCAGTGTGTTTTAAGAAGTGTCTTCACCCCACCTCTTCAGCCTTGGGACAAGAGGCTTATTAGCTAATTACTATGCAAATGAACAGAGATGTAAATTAAATGCTATGTCCTAACATAGCTTAAATGCCCCAGGAGCAAGAATTTAGTTAACTTTAACGGACTGTAATTCTATCCAAAAATATAGTTTATTAACAAGCACATACAATAAATTGCACCACTAACTTTGAATAAAACATCTACCAAGCTCACCTTCACACTAAGTGACATTTGGTTAATACAGAGCAAAAAAGCAATACACATATGCTTCCAACAGACATAGAAAGAACTCAGTTGCAATCCAAGTTCAAGTTCTAATCCAAAGAAGGGCACATAAAACCAAAAGCAATGAAGACTTCACATGAACCTTGCCATTTCTTTCCACCAGACCTTTGGTCTCTTACAAAATAGGTCTGTAATACAAAAAAGTAATAAAAACTCTAGATTCAATTTACTCAGCCTCTTCCATCACAAGTTAACTATAACATTTTGCAACAATGGCAGTAGTATTAAGAGGGAGGTAAGAGACAAAGATAGTTTTGTCTTGGAATTACATAAGTTCAGCTGCAGATAGAGAGGCTGCCTATCAGCAGGCATGGACTTCAGTGTCATTGTCCCAGTTTTTGCAAGAAATACAAAGATGGTAAAACACATTCTTCTCTCTCATCAATTAAAACTTGATCCATCCTCCACCGACATCCAAGGCAAAAATTCTTCTGTTATCAGTGGTAGTCTGATGGGGCCACAGTGGCCTTCAAAAAAAGTCATCCTCTCTGGTGAAAGGTATGTCACTCTCCAGTCTTCAACTTGGCTGTGATGTCAGTAAAACCTGACACGCTGTTACAGTCTCGTCCTCCCTTCATGCCAGAAAAAGGGATTCAGCAGAATTTGATATATAAAAATTGAAGCCAACTTGGCAATAAACAGCTCCGCTCTGCTCCGTGGAAGATCTTAACCTCACCGCAACGAAGTAAATAGAAGGTTTGTAATGAACTTCAGTAAGAGCACAAGAGAAGCATCAGGCCAAAACAGAAAAATACACACTTCTTGATATTAGACCTTGTTCTTTGCACAGGAAAGGATATTTCTATTTCTGATCCTCCGGGGCAGTAACAGAAACGTTCCCAAGAACAGCTCCCCAAATGTAACAGTGTCCACGGTAAAACTGCTCAAGTAGTACTTTTAAACAAAGACAGAGATTCCTCTGTTTCCTTTGTGGCAGAACAAAAAGTTATAAGCAGTAGGGTCCCAAATTTTTTAACATGGTGCCTGTTATCACAATATATTAAAAAAATTACCCCTGTGCTCCCTACTCACATTAGGAGTTGATCTTTACTCACAAAAATGTTATTGTGATATTGATGGGTTAAAGACTGACTTTCTCTCATTTCTCTCCTGCACCTTCCTCTTTATAATGCTTAGGAAAAGAACTCAGAAACTTCTCCTGCTCCCACCCTATGCAAAGAGTTAAGATCTACTTTTATGACAAAAAACCCACCAACTTTAAAAATGGTGATTTTTTTTTTTTTCCCAACTGCTGGAACCAGATTGCTTGCAGTACAGGGAAAAATTTATCTCAATGTGAACTAACCTGATGAACAAGAGCAAACAATCAAAAATTATCTAGAAATAAATGCATTCAAAAGAAATCCAAGTATTGTGACACCTCGTACTGAAAAACAAGTAATGCACAGTTCAATCAGCAACTAGCTCCCTCTCCCCTCTGCAACTTGGGTAGCTGTCTCTCATGTTAGCTAGGCATGAAACACTCTTACAGTAGGACAACTTTAGAAAAATTTGGGCAAGTGAGAATGGAGTTATTTTAACCTAGAACAATATCACCCCTCTGGGTGATGAATACAAACACTATTCACATTATAAAAAAAATTTTAAAATTCAGGGAAATGGGAATTTAAGCTGCATTTTCAGTCTATATGTTGTCTTTCCTCTTCCTTGTTTTATAAAAATAGGGCATGACATTTCAGCTTCAATTGCGCGTTTAAGTCACTTATTCATTGAACATTCCATTCTTGAAATATCATCTATTAAATGTTAGTTAAGATTCATCCTGCTTATAGAAAAGACTAGAAATTCTTCTGAACTGCACTTGTATACAATAATAAAAGAGACTCATATGAACTCAATAGAAAAATAATTAGATTATGGGAAAAAGAAAAGAAAAAATAAATAATTAAAAAAATAAAATCAAGCACCACTCTTACTATCTGACTCCTAATAAAACAAACACCAATCTAATGCCTTTTAGTTGAGGAAAAGATTTAACTCCAAAATAATATTTACAGACTGAATCCAGAAAGAAACTGCATTTTAAAGTCTGTAAGTTGCTGTAAGATGATGACAAACTTCCAACATCTCCTTCAAAGACAGAGGAAGCCATAATAAAAATACTGAAAATTCCTGATCAGTGTGTTGTATCAAACATTAGTATTTGTGTGTTGTATCAAACACTACCATAGTTCTCTCACCATCCATTTAAAAAAATGGATTCTGTACTACACTTGCACTCTGCCGATATAATTGTACATGGGCAGTTTACATGTCAACTACGTAGTACTGAAGGAAAAGGAAAAAGCTGAAGATTCATTTCGCTGCTTCAGCAGTAAACCCCGCGGGGTGGGAAGGCCTGTTGGGGATACCAACGTTGTAAGAAATCAGTGAAATGGGCGAGTCAGAAATCCAATAGTACAAAGTCTGCTTGGACATGGCTCTTTCCCCTACTGCAAAGCAGATTTAATAAATGGGATTTATTTTAGAAAGTTTCACAATTCTTAAACAGTACATGATACTTGCATTCCTGAAGGATTAAGTTCTACATTTCTTAATGCTAATTCAACTCTCTAAAATGAACCAAATAAAACCAGAAACACTTTTACAAGTAACATGCACAACCTAAAAATTCCACCCTCGAAACTGCCTTTTTGGTACCCTTTTAAGCTCTTAAGATACTCTATTTATTGAAGAGATGCCAGCAATCCTGCAGTGGGAACAAATGCTTCTTTGGCAAAAGGAAAACATTTTAATGCCTCCTCCCTTCGAAGTATGCACACCTCACCACAACATATGCTAATATACTACCAAATAAGTCTCTTTATCTTGCCATTTTTATAACAAACTGTTTCATTCATATCTATTTCAGCTTGTAACTACCTACTGCACAGAGCAGCACACTGTGCTAAATCCACAAGTAGTTTATAGCTAAGAAATAGAAAGTGAAAAAAAAAAAGAACACATTATATTAAAAAAATAATTATATACTCCAAACAAGTCAAGAAGGGCTAATTTTGTATAAACTGTTTCAGTGTAAAACTGAAATTTTAAGTCATGCAGGCATTTTGGCCCTTTTTTCCATCCTTTGTCCTTTATTTAAAATGAAGACCTAACAAAAAAGGGTTCCCACAAATATGATAGTGAGTGGAAATTTGTGCTAAGTCTGCCGTTAATATACAAAACCAAATGTTACAGCCCTTCTGTGAAGATATCTATGTATGCATATATACCTATGCATGGAGACACACATACCTCCCCTTGGATCTCCAGCCATCTCCGAGGCACACACTCCATTGACACACTCACAAATCAGCCAAATGCTGAATCTAGAAAAAGATGAAGACCAACTGTTTGCAGATCTACAGTCTGCAATTGTAAAAATATAATAAATATAGATAAATATTTACTATCACATTACTAGGTTGTTTTTTTTTTTTCAAGTGAAATTGCTACTTCAAATCTTCTTCCTGAAAAACTCAAAGAAGCAAAACAGGAAGTGTTTTTAAAAATAAAAAACTCAAGGGATGAAAATAAAGAAAACACACCCTCAAACATGCTGGAGTAAGACCACTTAGTGCAGGCATCAGTACCAGCCTTCTTTACTGAAACAGGATCTTTAGTCTCCAGACATATCCTAGTTACTCCAGTAAAATCAGTGTGCCTTCTAACGATAACGATACCAGAAAGAAAAATCTGCTTTTAATATGTGGATTTGAATACCACAGTTAACTGTCAAAGACTTGGTATACAACTGGGATAACTCTGCTGGGGACAATATTAAGATGAGAGGGAGAAAATAAAGCTAAATTCTATGGGAAAGTGCTGGGATCCATCAAAGGTTTCTGTAGGCTTAGATCCATACACCTGAATCCATCTGTAGGGGTGAAGAGGATGGGGGGGGAGTATGTGAAAACTCACTTGTAACTGAACCTTTTTCTTTTTTTCCCCTGTTAGAGGAATGAAAACTGCCTCAAATGATGCAACGGGTCAACCGAAGACTGCCACATTTGAAAAATACTGGAAATCCTGAAGTCAGAGCTTGTGAATTTATTTGGTTTGTATGCTGTCTTGGAGGAGAGAGAAGTTAATACTTTTAAAAGCTTGGTATTTACACTTCCGAAAAGTTTCTGCAGTTCATCCAAATTTGATAGGGCAGGACTTAAGTGCCTGTTAGTGTTCCCGACTGGGCACTTCTGCTGCTTTGGCACACGCGCACACACACAGTATTCCAGTACCAATGGTATACGACGTCTAATGCAGCTTTAAACTGGCAGCACTCCTGAGTAGTTTTAAATGTTTATCAACTCAGTAGGTCAAAAGTCTGCAGACACTGGGTGGAGCAGCAGTATGCCACAAAACTAACAGTTGTCCTCCTAGGAAAAAAAAAAAGAGGGTGGGGGGAGGGGAAGGAACAGTTGTCAGTAAAGATTAAAACTCCTGACTCCATTCCACAGCAGACAATATGCTGGTTTGTAAAATACAGGATTAGCTGATCTCGACACTTCAGAAAAAGAAGGTTCATTCGCTCTGTATGATACAAACATGATGCCTGATACAAAGGCAGGAAAACACTGCAGGGGTTGTCAAAAACCTTCCTGCTTTCTTGTGTATTCACAGCTTAAAGCAGCAGCATGTGGTTTTTCTTTCTGTAGAGGGTGTGGCTGCGTGTTATAGCCAGTAGGTTTAACAACTAAAAGGAAAATAGCTGGGTGATTCTTTGCTTCAGCTTTGCTCATGTGTTTCTTAAACTACTGCTTGTAGGCATGAAATAACTGAAGTCCAGTGTCCTCCTTTGGTTCAGCCGAGTGAACAAAGTGGGCCCAGATCTTCAGAAGGAAAGACTGACAGGCAGTGCTGTCACATTGTGCCAGGTACTACAGCAGGGGTGGCAACATGAAAGTGCAATACTAGCCTCACTGTGCTCACTGTGACCCTCCTCTTGCCCCCATCCTGGCAGGGACCTAGATATCTGCTTTAAAAACGTTAAGATCTGTTTTTTACTAACCCAGAAATCACACTTTACCCAGTGCTCATGTCATCTGTGCTTTTTCAGATACAGAAATCCAGTTCAACACTTAACTATCCTTTCCTATAAGAGGATACAGAATGCGATACAGAAATCCAGACAGAAGTTACTGGCATGGATGTGGCATGCGCTAATCAGCGCTGTTCAAACGTTCAGGATCCCTGCCCTGTGTGTTTTCATGGTCACTGTAAGCTCTTTAGAACAGAAACCCTGTCCTTCATGTCTTTCTAAACCAGCTATCACACCTCTACAATTCCACATAATCTTACCATGTCAAGTGCACGAGCTACAGAGATAAGGATGACAGGCTACCCTGTTTAGATCTCATTGACTGTGGATTTGCATCAAATGTCAGCTACTTAAGACTGTATTCATTAAGGCATTTTGCAGAACACAGTACATTCTTGTCTAAGGGAAGGAATGATGACCATTTTTTAAACAAGTGAAAACCATGCAGAAATATGTATTTTCAATTAATACATTTTTGAATATTAATATAGTGTTCTTCCAAAATAGCCCTACAGTATGTTTCTGTTGAGTTTCAACTTTAATAATTCCTAAAAGGTGTCTATCATCTCCTAACTGTAAGTTCTACAATAAGCAATGCTCAGCAGTTAATTAGGAAGTAGAGTGCTCTATCGTAGTTCAAACTCTCGCATTGTTGGATTATTTCAGATAACATAAGGATTTAGTGACCAGCAAGTAGTTTTCATCACTTCCTTAGAAAATTGTTACAATGCTCAAAAGAAATTCTTCATAGCATGATTATCTTACGCCACTCTGAATATTAGGACTGTAATGTGGAAGCTATTTATTTTACTCAACGTGAAATCCATTGAATTTCAACATATGACTGAAAGGTAACAGAATGGCAAGCTGAAGTATGCAATCTGTACAATCAGATCTTTCTAAGAAAGATGGCTTTTCCAAAATAGCATTTATGCAGCCTTGTGGCTGCTGTCCAGATTTGGCATCCCTAAGTTTTTTTTTTCATTTCGTAAAGGTGAATTGCTTACAAATCAGATACCTCTTATGCCACCAACTCATAGCAAAATAACGTGTCGTACTGCTGTGGAAAATAGGTACCATTAACCTGAATCACCAATTAATCTCTTCTTTTTCCTTAAAGATCTTCCTGTTGAAAAGCAGTTTCTTATTTTTAT